CCGTGGTGTGGAAGGTACATCCGTAGTTGTTCTCATGGTGGTAGACGTCCGACGACTGGATCGTCCCATACTGTGATCCCTCATACTACTCGTCGTATCCCGTTTGGACGATTCGTCCATCCCAGCCCCCCTGGTTCGTCTAGACCGACTCTTGTCTCTCATTCCCGACGATTCGTCCATTTTCGAATGTACAGCCGTGGATCGTCGTCGTTTGGGTGTTTTGCTATGACTGCGACTTCTCTGTGATTCTATGGGTTGTTGTTGTTGTATTCGACTGATACTGGGACTTCGTGTGGCCGTTCTGGATTTGGACGACGACGAATGTTGTTTTTGGTGGCTCTTGCTGGAAGTTCTCTTGGTTTTCTTGTTGTTATTGTGGTTGTTGTCGCTGCTACTACTCGTTTTGGAAGGCTGCTGTCGTCGTCGTACACTGGGAGTTCGTCCTCTACCGGTGGAAGCAGATCGTGTTCTGGGACTGACACTACTACTACTACTGCGACCGCCCGTCGCCGTATCGACGGATGTGGGTCGTTTCGTCACGGGAGGTTTGGAAGTTGATATTTTGTTGTTGTGGGAGACACTTTTGGCTCGTTTTTTGGATGACAAAGACTTTTTCTTTTGCTCCCGAGATCGTGTCCGTCTCGCCTTTTGTTTGTCGTCTTTTTTTTTGGTAACAGTACTGGGTGACTTCATTGTTGTACTAGTAGGATCATTTGTAGTTGTCGAGTGATGCAGTGCCGACGACGAATCCATATCGGTCTTGCTCGCTTCGTGATCTGTCTCTCGCTCGTCCGTGTCGTCGTCATCATCGTCATCATAGTAACTAGAATCGACCGAGACTGCTTCCAATAAATTCGTATTGGATTTCAACCGTGTCATGGCATGTCGCAAATTCCCAAAGGAAGCAGATTTTTTGAGTTCTTGTCGTAATCCAGTCAGTGACAAAGATTGAGAGGATGATTTTTGGAGTGCCGTTTGTTGTTGTTGTTGTTGAAAGGATGCCAAGGATAAGGATGTGTCGGAATTGGATTTGACGAGTAGCGATTGTTGTTTGCTAACGTTATTATTATTGATAAAATTCAAGCGTGTCAAATCGGCATTCCCGCCCACTTGTGCCATGGTCTTGACGAGCGAGTAAGGATCGCTTTGTTGTTGATTGTGATGCTGATTGTGTTTCAGGAGAATATCGTCCATGCGTGCCCATGAAGCCATGGCGGCTTTTTGGTAACTCCTCATGGATGATGATGATGAGTCGTCACTGGATCGTCGTTGTTTTGGCTGTTGTGTAGTATTGTTGTTGTTGTTGTTGTTGTCATCACAAGAACAGGACTGTAGGGAATGCTGTCGTTCTTGTTTCATGACGTGGACAGCGGTGGCCAAGACATTGGCAGCTCCTTTGGAAAGTCCCTCATCTTCTTGTTCTTGTCGTTGCTGTTGTTGTTGTTGATTAAAGGCCGAAGAAAGATCGGAATCTTGCAGCAATTGCGTCATGAAATTGGTCAACGAAGAACTCAACTCGACACCTGTCTGTGCTTGTGTTTGTGTTTGTGCCTGAGTTTGTGCTTGTACACTACGTGCTTGTGCCTTTGTTAGTTCGGTGGTGGACAAGGAAGACTCACTCCCATACACAATCGAAGGATCTGTTTTGCTGCGCACCAAACTAGATTTCTTGGGAGGAGGAGGCAATGACTGATGGAAACTCTGACGGCATCGGCGAAGTGCGGTTCGCTTCTGATTCGATGTCTTGCTTGTGTTAGAAGTACTTGTGCTTGTTAGAGGAGCCACGGCCACTGAGGACGACGCCGGAGACAAGGGAGGCATGGAATGATGCGACTGTTGCTCTTGCGGTTTCTGCTCTTGCTCCATGCTACTATCCGACACAATCACTGTACTCGATTCTTGGTGGATCGTACCGCTACTGGTAGATTCCGTGCTGCAACTGTAGAGCGCTGCTGTTGCTTTTGTCGACTCCCCTTCTTCACGAACTATAGACTCGTCCAGCAATTGCGTCATGAACGTTGATAGTGGGGCCGTCATCTTGCAATAATGATGAATCAATTTCAAAATCTGTCCTGTCTTCTTCTGCTTTCTTTCAAATAAATGGCTTCCATTTATCATACCGGTGGCATTTGCTGTTGATGTTGCTGTTGCTGTGTTGCTGTAAAAAAAGAGAGGTACAGCTCATCTTAATTAATGCTTCGAGCCTTGCACTACTGTACAACGTACAACAGGGGGTAGGGAGCACTACATACAGCCTGTGCATATGAACAGGGAGGATGCCCGCAGATTGAGAGCAAGGCCAGCCATTTTTTTGGCCTGAATTCAAAAACGTCCAATTTCCTGTGCAATCGAACAGGATAGCGACGCCTGTTCAATTGCACAGGAAATTGGACGGCCTGTGCAATCGAACAGGATGGCGACGTCCTGTTCAAATGCACAGGAGCTCGATGTCCTGTTCAAATGCACAGGAATTGTGACGTTTTTTTTCTGGGTAGGCTTTCTCATTACTCAACAGTATAGATCTGACATTACATTCAGCATTACAGTCAAGCATGTCCTCTGCGTTCAGTCAAGCTGATGATCAACTCTCCTCTGCTATCTTGCAGGCTGAGGTATGGACGTCTCCACCCGTAATCATTCAAGTAGCTGGATCTCTCAAAGACGATAGAGACAGAAAGGAAATCAATCTTATTCCAACACTCGGTCACAATACTTGCAACCGATCGGAGCCCAACACTGCTATCGTGCACTGGCTCCCAAAGGAATTCTCTACCAATACTGCTGAGTTTCGCACTAAAACGCTTGCACCGTATTTTGTCAACGCTTGTCGTGCTTCTGGCTTTGTTGTACGACTCAGGGGTTTCGGAAAATCAAAAGATATTGCTGCCTCCATTTGCCAACGCGGACGATATCACGAATCCGCAATTAGAGAATCAAGTCAGGGTCAGCGTGTACCTACCACCCAGCTGCCTATTAAGAATGTTAATGTTCGCTGTCCATTCAAATTCAATGTATATTGGAGTGAAAGCAATAAACGATGGTTCCTGCCCCGTCAACAATCAGGAAATTCTCAACACAGTGGTCACATGCATCGTTCACCAGAAATTATCTCTACGTTGACCAAAAACCTTCCAGAAATTGAGCGACAAATTGGGCAGAATGTCATGGAGCAGCATGCTACATGTGCTATCACACAGAATATCATTCGGAAGAGAACTGGAATTACAGTCAGCCATGATCAAATGAAGTATCTCAGAAAGCAACAAAAAGCACTAGCTCAGTCTGCAATGATTACATCCTTGGAAACCAAAAGTGGCTGCTCAATTGACCAGGAACAGATCCAAACACCAGCAGACAGAATGTTTCTTGCACTTGACAACGACCCGACAAAATCTTACATCTCACTTTTTGGTGAGGTCAACTCCAACCTGATAACCATCAAGCAAACAAGGAAAACCCCCACAGCCTATGCCATCTCCGAAATGGATGCAGATGCTTTATGTGATGACACTGGTGATGGTGCGATAAATCACAGCAGAAAGATTCGAGATAGTCTTACTATCACCGGGACAGGTTACATTCTATTAGCGGTGCTTTGGACGGACGACAAATCGTCTAATCGCTTAGCATGTTTCCGGAAGTCACTACAGCAGATGTGGTTGAAGGCCTGAATTCTGAGGAGCGCCCGTGTTTCATTCTGGCTGGCAAAGATTCCAACAATAAAGTCTTTGCTCATACTTGGGGGTGGCTCTGTAGTCAATCATTCTGGCAGTTCTCCTGGATTTTGGGCACAGCAATCCCCGCTTTACATCCAACTAGAATTTTTCCAAAAATTCGGATGATTGTTACAGACGAAGATGGGCAGCTTTGCAAAGCCGTCGAGTCGGTAACTGGGATGGGTCATATAATGCCAAATGCAAGACATCGACTTTGTGCCTGGCACAAGATTGACCGGAACTTCGTCAACCACAAGGCATACATCTCTCTTATTAGTGATCTTGTTGGGGAGAACTGGGTTGAGATTCAGATGCTCATTGGTTGGTTATGGTCACTAGTCAGAGATTGTGAAACAGATGACGAGGTCAAATTTTCTTTTGCCTTGTTGGAAGCCTACCTTGAGAGCATGGAAAAGCATCCCGAAAGACATAGAGGCCATATTGGCAATCAGCTCATTGTCAAGTTTCGGGAATATCTATTGAAGTCTTTTCAATTTGTACTGCCGAAGTTATCCTCTGCTTATTATTCAGAAATTTTGACACTATTGATTTGTACATCTACGTGGTCGGAAATTGAGAATTCTTCATTGAAACGCAGCCAGGATGGACCAAGGAAATGTCATGACCTGGCGGAATCCCATGACAGAATTTCGGGCATTACAGATAGAAAGGACTTGACTAAGCGAATGAAATCCGCTTATGATTTGGATTCGGTTCCAGCCAACTCGGAACAGCGGGAACAAGCGGTTACTGAGCTTACACAACAAAGCAGCAACATTCTGATGAACCAATATCACGCAAAAGACAAATACAACATTTTACAAGTTGACCCTACATCAACCACAACAATCCACGCTATCAAATCAATTCTACCTCAAATTCCAAATGGATCCAAGATTGTTAGTATGTTTCTTCTCACTCGAAACGTAGAATCACAACAGACTTACGCACGGGACGATATCAACGATACTCAAAGAGTGTGGAGACGGATGCAGTGGGTGAATCCATCAATTCTTCGAACAAGAGTGCTGGTTGTGTTGGAATACACGGGTGGCACTCTATGTGTTTGCAGCTGTAAGCATTTCAAGCAAATGGGACACTGTTGTCGGCAGGTTTATGCTGTGACTGGCTTGAAACCGAACAAAACACATGCACAAACAAGGTTCTGGAAAATCTACATGAAGCTTCAGGAAGATTCCATTGCACCTGAATTGAAACAAGCTATCTTGAGAATGCAACAAGCAAGTGAGAAGCTACCTGGTACCCCTGTCCTCGAACCGCGCATGTGGATCAACACATCGCATCCAAAAGCGAGTAACAATCTCCCGTTTTTGCAGGAGATGCTTGATCGGGTTAAGCAAGTAAGAATCCGATTGACTGATTCGTTTTGGAATACTCAACAAGGTCAATCAATACTTGTTCAAGTGCATGCCGGAAAGAGGCACTATGGATGGACATCAGATATGCCCTTACCACCGCTCAAATACTCAAACAAGTCAATTCAGTCGAGTCACATGATGTATTCTTTGAGGGTCTACACAGCCTTCACGCTGCAGTCATGAAAATCTCACAAAATGAGGTAGGCCCAATTGGTGTGGCTGATGGAGGATCAATGTATGGACCACCTGTTATTTCCAGCAACAAAAACTCTAACAAGAGACTTAAGAAGGTAAGCAGCCCAACCAAAACTAGAAAGAGGAGTGGTGCAAGCATTGATCCTTAACCGTATAAATTATTATTTAAATATCCTGTGCATTCGTACAGGCACCTGTGCATTTGTACAGGAGTAACACTCCTGTGCATTTCTACTCCAAGGCACCCTCCATGAACGGCCGTCCGGACTTTGAACGAAGTCGCCTTTCTTTGCCGCTTTTGTCTGTTGCAGCAGCTCGTTTCTTCGGAGCTTGGACGCTGTTACTGTTACTGTTGTTGTTGCTGAAAATGAAGAAGACTCCAACCAGCATGCACGTCAGATTTCCTGTGCAATTGCACAGGAAGCACGTCGGATTGCCTGTGCAATTGCACAGTCGCCTGTTCAATTGCACAGGAATCGCGTCGCCTGTTCAATTGCACAGGAATCGCGTCGCCTGTTCATTTGCACAGGAATCGCGTCGCCTGCCAGGCCAAAATTTGACTGCAGGCTGGCTCTCTAAAAATCCTGTTCATATGCACAGGCTGTATGTAGTGCTCTCTACCCCCTGTCTTGGAAACTACTGTATTCGATTCGATTCCACTCAGTAAAAAGCCCATGTAACGCCTGGTTGCAGAATTCACGCCGGCTCCTTCGGCTTGGATACCGGTACTGTTCGTTTAGCGCCGAACTAGCTACAGTGTAGCGGTCTTGTAGTACTCGCTCATTGCCATGCCATCTACGGTACACGCCACCCAAGTAGCAAAGAGCGCCTGAATACCGCAAAGAACGACGGATTATCGATCTTAGCTCTTGCTTCTATCGTTCTCTTCCATGTAGTACGTCGACGGATCGGATCACTGTGTCGAAGGAATGTTCCTCCACATTGTTATTGGAAAGTCTGCAGAATCTTCTGGTGGATGGGCTTGTCAAGTTAGCTGAGTGATATTGCCGGCATGCGCATGGCAGCGAGGGTCCTGAGCAGCTCTGCCTGTAAAGCAAAGGTGGAGCAGGGGAAGAGTTTCTTGGCTCAACTTGCCCGCAGTCCCAATCAAATCAAGGTCTTCCGCAAGGCATTGTAGACAGTGACAGCGTGATATTGTTTGTCGTTGAGTGGAGCGACACCACGCTGATTACCTTCCTTGCGCTTTGAGGCTGGATGGAAAACGGACAGTGCGGATTGGGTTAGACGTCATCTGGGGCGACCGGTGCAGGTTGCTGCCAAGTGTTGGGATGTTAATGGAAACGAGCAGTGACAGAGTCAGCTGGCTTCCGAACAATGGCAAGACAAAGAATCGGATATTACGAATCTTTGCCATCGCCCTCCAATGGTGCAGGGTATCTTGAGTCTTCCAATCCGTGTATCCCCATTCTGATGATTGTTCGTAGAATATCTGGTTGCCGGGCTTGTCACGGTTGCTCGTCGCCATGTTGATAATAGTGCCAATCTGGACTTCGGGCAAAGGGTTGTTGAATAGTGGCTGCTCCTGTTCCTGGAATCAAGTGCACGTAGATTAGAACCATACAAAGTTCTGTGACAGAGAGGAACTCGCGTTGCAGCCGTCGTCTACCTTGGAAGGGAGGATCATCATGATTCTCGTCATCCCACGCAGTGCCCATATATCGGATCGCGATACTCAATCTTAGTAAAGTTGAGCGTCACGTAGACGATTTTGGGCGGCAGCGTGGCCTTCTTGATAATCGTTTGGAAGATCGCTTGAGCTCGGACTCTTCGTGTAATATTGCGATAGACGGTGCTCGTAATCGCCAACGACTTTTCCTCCTTGTGGCAATCGGTAGTCTGGAAGGCCTTGTCGACTATTTTAAAGTGCACTTGAATCAGCAGAATCAAAAAAACTGCCACGAGA